AAATGTTTGTGCATCTAGTTTATGAGCAGATAGAAAAGAAAACAATTGGTAAAACATATCTAATCCTGAACTGATTTACCAGCTTAATTTTGCTTCTTCAGGCTTGCTGGGTCTGTGTTTCCATGTCACTTTAGTTCCATGATTTGTGGCAAAATTCCACTCAAACAATTGCTCCTTTGATGATCCTCTTGAGTAATTTCCTCCAGGGAGAGGCTGGGCTTGTTTGCTTTTCTTGGAGGGGGGGGCAAGCTTTCTACGTCCCGCGGTGTTATCTTGCAAAATAAAATTTGATGGTTGTAATTAACAATTATTTGAGCAGCTTATTTGCCATCTGGCTGCGCCTGCATATTTATTGCAGCACTGCGCACAAACGAGTTTTGGTTTTGCTACAATGAACGGCCAGTTTGAGGTAGTTGGAGATATTATCCCATTAATGCATAGCTTCCCTCTTCAACTTCAAATGCTAAAGACTTGGGGAAGATTTGGGTGTTGCTACCACTCATGCGTCCCTCAACTTAAACACAGCCTGGCACGAACTCACCAGAAGCCTCTGTGCTGGTGTGGCAGGTCAGCAGCAACCCTCCCTCCTCCCAAGGCCAAGTAGAAGACATCTCCTCTCAAGAGGCCTTCGGTTGGCGCTGCCCTTTGAACGCTTGGCAAGGGCGACCCAGAACAAGTGTGCAATAAAACAGGTGTTGCAAGGAAGGCTCTTTTTCAAGGTAAGTGCAAAGGGGGGGAAAAAGGAATAAATATCCTTTCCACCCACAGCTGTAGTTTTGTAAAAAGGGCGTTCTTTGGACCTGGCATTGCGTAGCAGCTGTGGAATTAAGTTGTTGCCACATCAGGTGTTGTCCAGGGAACCAGAGGACGGATCAGCTCCGGGATGGGGGGAGGGCAGGTTGCAGGTTGACATTTACCAGTTTTTGACCCACTCGAGATGGAGAGAGCAACTCGGCTTCTCAACGGCTTTGGTTTAATGTCAGTTTCTGATTCCAGTTTAAGATGACAATCCCCAAAGAAAAGTCCCAAAGGTGCTTTTTTTCCAAAAGGCACCTGGACTTTCTTGGGTTTTTTTCCCCTCTTTGAAAATGTTTCGCTTCTCATCCAAGGAGCTTCTTCAGTTCTGATGAACTTTGGGACAACCATGACCTGCATAATTGAGAATCTCCCTAGACATTTCCTCCCCAAAGAAAAGAGCCTGCAAATTGCCCTGGATCATCATCAAAAGTTCTCCTGGATTTAGCATGAAAGGCAAAGTTCCCACAAAAACCAGAAGTAGAAACTGCAGTTTAGTTTATTCTGATATTTTCACAGTGTGGCCTTTTTGCGTGTAGACACACACATTGGCACATCCATAAATAAACCCCTGGAAACACGGTGTGACATTAGCCCCTGGATTTACATACACGGAAATAGGTAGGACTTCAACCGCAATCTTAAAAGGTATTTGAGCACCTTCATTATATCATGGCATAACGTAGCGTGGATAAACACCACTGAGACATATAGAGATGAAGAGCAGAAATCAACAAAAGCCTCTGTCGATCTTCTTTAACCTGGTATCCACTAGATATATTGGACTACACTTCCCATCATCCCTACAAATATTCTCTCCCCAACTAATCCTTAGACCCATCCTTCCTTCTTGGTTTGTGTTAGGACAACCTGAATGTGGAAGCTGGTGTTTCTCAACCATGTCAACTTTAAGATGGGTGGACTCCCAGGATTCCCCAGCCAGCGTGCTTTGAGAGAGGCGGACTTCAATTCCTGGGTGCATGCTATAAAAAGAACGGACTTCAACTCCAAAAACCTCCCAGATAGCTCAAGGAACATCCTCTACTAGGCAGTGGAGAATATGAAAAACCTTAGCACTTGCTGACAAGAAGGCCTTTTTGGCTGAGGAAGGGGACGGGCTACCCTGGCAAGAACAGGCTGGCAATAAAGCTGGCAATATCTGTACAACCTGTGAGGCTCAAGAAAGCATCTGGCTTGTGCAGACTCTTCTCACCAGGAAGCAGGCAGTCTAGGAGCTTCATACAGAATATAAAAAGCAAGATATTCTTTTGACATTTGATACCACTTGGAAATGAAAATTGAGCGAAAGGCATAGCCGTGTTGAGAAATAAGATGCCAATTTGCTTACACAGTAAGCTGGATGCACATCGGGTGCCTGGAAGGCTGTAAAGGGATGGGGGGGGAAGGAGGAGGAGGAGGAGCACCTTCCCCAACAGTTCCCTCTTACCCGATCAGTACACAATTATCACAGCTGTTTCCCCCAGACAGAAAACTGATCGACGGAAATGAATGATAAAATGCCAGCTTCTCCTTTCCACCCTACCTTAAAAATATAGAAGGACGGAATCCAAATACATATGTTCGTCAGACACACATTTTCCCCCCAACAAGGAAGCAACACAAGGCAGGAGAATGACTCATAATTCCAACCCACAGTGCCAGTTCTGCTGAAATTGAACAAGTGTGGTTGCGCAAGTCCCCTTCCACCCTCTGCCCCAGGGGGGAAATCATCTCCCTACCTGACGGTTTGCAAGGTCCCTGAATCTCAGGTCTAGGACCATAAAGTCTTTCAGAATGCCGAAGGTCTCCCAGGGCGTGAGGTCCGGCACATCTGATAGGCCAAAACCTGTCTGTCCTGCTCTTAGCCGAATCCCCTGTCCTTGAGGGGTGGGCCACGCTCAGAGGGGCTCTTGATAGATGGCCTTGTAGCGCAGATACTCTTCCAAACATTGGATGACACAGTCGTCAACGCTGGGGTCGAACTTGTTGGCAAAGAGGTGGTGCTGTGAGAGTAGCCAGGGGAGGTCTCCAAACCCATACACGCAGACTGCCCGCCGGTAGGCTCCAGAACACTGGCCGTAAGGGGCTCCCTTGCTGATGTCCCCTTCAATGTAGGACCACTTTACCAGCCGGGCAATAGAGTTCATGTCTGTGAGGTCAAATTTGTCATTGGAAGGGACTGAGCCTGGCACCTCCGGCATCCGATGCAAGGTGGCCCAGAGATGCTCATCCGGGCTGTACGTATCCTTGGACCACTCGATCAAGCGCCTGGCGGTCGGGTCCTCGAAGAGGTGCTGGACAAACTCCCTAGTGACCACGATGTAGGCATTGCCAGTATGCATGGGAGACTTTTGGGGAGGGGGACTCTTTGTCATCTTGGTCTGGACGATGCTATTGGTCACTTCGTGGTGGTATTTCCAGCGGTTCTTTTTATAGGATGATGGTTTCTCAGACTCCATGTTGTTTTTCCCGTTCAGCAGTTTTAGGGCTCGGACGATCTCTGTGTTTGTCTTGATAGGGAAATCGGTCCCACAGGTGTTCAGGAGGTACCTCCAATGCATCTTGCTTTGAAGCAGATCCTTCATGCAGTTCAGATCAGCTTGGACCCTCGACCAAGAGGCATACACCACGCTCTCCTGCTTAGAAGCCAGAAAAACATTGTCGAAGCAGGAGGCAATGGCCTGAACGGCTTTTTGGAAAAGTTTGGGAGATTTGCTGTCCACGTGGACACAGTATACGTTCTGAGGAGCAAAGATGGATCTCAGTAACCTTTCAAACATCTCAATCTTCTCATGGATCACCATGGAATAAGCAATAGGGAAGTTTTTTTCCTCTTCACTCAGGTGGAACCCAATGAATCTTCTCCTTTCTTTAAAGTTCTGACAATCCTTGGTTACGTTCAGGTAGAACATCTCGTCTAAGGCCACCCGTTTGTTTTTCCATTGCACCTTGCTCACCAGAGCGTCCTGCAAAGCCTTTGTGTCTCCTCTGCTGATCCCAGAGCAACTGATCTTCTCCTTAGGGGAGAGTTTCACTGACTGGTAGAACTGGTCCTTGCAGTACTGACCTCGGAGGTCCATGGTGTCTCTCTCCAGATAGCTGGAGTCACACTGCCAACGGCTGTACTTCAGCATGACTGTGGCCAGCAACATGAGAGTCCCCAGTGCCAGCAGGTGTGGAATTTGACACAGGAACCTTTTATCCCCCAAATACATCTTTGGAGAGCAACTGATTCTCCAGCTTCTGAAATCTAAATCTCTGCTTCCAAACTCCCCTGGAAGATTCAAAGTTCTTGTGTTGGAATCAACATCTTCTGGAAACAGGTAACAGGCTGTTTACTTGGGCTCTGAAGGAAATCCCTTCCTCATATCTGGATGGCTGGCTTGGGTTCGCAAGTGTAACCTGAGAGCTGTGATGAATTGCAGGTAGAGTTCAGATGGGGCGGGGCTGAGAGTGGTTGCCTTCCCATTTGCCCAAGGTCTCGGATCTCTCCAATCCAGAGGTGTGGCCATTCATATCACAGCCATGAACCAACAGGAAGAAGCTGAGGAGCTGTTTCTTGTTTGGTGACCTTTTAGAAGTTCTAGCAGCTTCACAAAGGAGATGCGGATTAGATGTCCAGATGTAGGATATGTGAAACATGCATTACGGCTCAGAAGACAATCACTGGATGGGTGGGGACAAAATGTTCCCAGAATAGAGGAATCAGGAAATGGACAATTTTTGAAAAGAAACTGAACTCCGGGTGCAGTTGCAAAGGTTCTTACCTGGGAGTAAATCTCACTGGGATCAATAGAGGAGGCAGGTAGAGAACAGCCTGATTCATGGATCAGCAAGTCAGTTGGCCTAGAGCAGGGGTAGGCAACCTTGGCTCTTTTATGACTCGTGGACTTCAACTCCCAGAATTCCTGAGCAGCTGTGCTGGCTCAGGAATTCTGGGAGTTGAAGTCCACGAGTCATAAAAGAGCCAAGGTTGCCTACCCCTGGCCTAGAGGAACTTTGCAGTTTGACCTTCAGAGAGACATCTGAAAAGTGATGCCTCGTGGAGTCGTCTAAGTCCCTCTGTGAAATATTATATGGAAAACTTCTTAGCTCCACTGAGTGCGATAGCTTATAACTTTATTAATTTTTAAAAATAAAATATAAACTGATGAAAACAGATGGTCAAAGAGAAAAAGAGCTAAAAGAGAGAAAGTGAAAGAAGCAAGAGATAGAAGTGCAAAAACAGAAATTATAGAAAGAAAAAATAAATGTAAAACAGAGCAACTTCTGACTTCTTTTACTGAAGATAAATTCATCCTTGACTTTAGTGTTGAACAAGAGCTTCCATTTTTTCAAACAATCCAGTCATTGCATTCACATACCGTACAGGTAGTCCTCAACTTACGAACACAATTTCTGTTGTTAAATGAGACAGTTCTTAAGTGAATTTTGCCTGATATTATGATCTTTCTTGCTACAGTTGTTAAGTGAATCTGATAAGTTAGTAACCTGGTTGTTAAGTGAATCTGTCTTCTCCATTGACTGCTTGGCAAAAAGTTGCAAAAGAGGATCACATGACCTCGGGACACAGCAACAGTCGTAAATACAAGTCACTGGCCAAGCATCTGAATTTTGATCACCTGACCATGGGGATGCTGCAAAGGTCATAACTATGAAAAACAGTCATAAGTCACATTTTTCAGTGCCATTCTAACTTTGAACCATCACTAAATAAACTGATGTAAGTGGAGAACTTCTTTTTTTCTTCTTCCCTGTTTTGGGCAAAAAGTCCATCCTAGTCTTCCCACAGCTGCTTCTTCACTGGGGCCTGTAGGTCACTGTGGCTGCAGCTGGGAAGAGTTTTCGTAGAGACTTTGAAGCTGCAAAGTTGTTTTTTGGTAGAAGGTAGACCATCTGCCCAAGTTACCCCTCCCTCCACCTTCTTTTCTCCTCCCAGAGTCAAGACAGGTGGGCCAAACAATGCTGTCGTGGCCTCTTGAGTTGGCAGGACCAGAAACGGTCTCAACCCTGACAGCTAAATTGCACGTGAAATGCTACCCAGATGATGCTTTAATGAGGCAGCCAGTTCTTTCCTATTAATAAATTACCAGCAATTGCTATCTTGATTCTAATCGGTGGTGTTTTTACAAGTATCACTTATTTTGAAACAGTCTACTGCAGCCAAGACGAAAATCCACCTTCCTATTTAAGTTGAACAGGAAGGGTGGCCCCCCTCCCAAGAAAGGTACCTGGATGGATTTATGAGAATCTTCCTGAGCCTTCAACAAGGGACAATGAACTCAATAACTTTTCATAAATGGCCCAACTGAATCATACCAGAGAATCTTGGCCAACCTGAACTAGCTCTGTCTTTTAACCCCTTCCGTGTTCTACTTAGTCATGATATTCATTGTTTCTCTTGTGGCCAAATTGGGGGGGGGGGGGTTTAAAAAATTAAAACCAAAGGCAAGTGGGTGGGTCCAGGTGAGGAATCACAGCTTGCAGAGCTGGGCAATGTTGAGATAGCCTTCCTTGTGTTGATGCAAATCAAGTAAGATCTCAAATCAAGAGGGTCCTCACTCAATTAGCTTCTTGACAATTGTAGGGTCATAGGATTGGGTGGGACCTTCAGGGTCTTCTAGTCAGGCCTACCACTCCCTGGGAGAAGCTAGAGTTTGCAGGGTCCAGATTGCCCCTCCAGTGAAAAAGGGTTGGGAAGGAGAAGATAAGGAACCATCTTCTGAGCTGAAGAGGCAAGTAGATTGCTCCATCTGTGTTCCCAGTGCAGACCCTCATCCAGTGGTGGGATTCAGCCGGTTCGCACCACTTTGGCAGAACTGGTAGCTAATTTTTTGTTGCCCAGGCCCAGAATGGACTTCTAGAAGCAGCATCCACACAGAGAACCGGTTGTTCACCTATTTGAATCACACCACTGCCCTCATCTAAAGCTTTGCCCCAGGAATCTATACAGGGGGTCCTGGGTGGGTCCCGAGATGCTAAAATTATGTGCACCAACTACATTCAGGCGAGCTTGTTTACAAGGAAGCATCCTGTTTCAGCCGGATCACGAACACAGCTGATGGTAGAATTCTAGCTGTAAACTTTGGGGCTGTAACTATAAGAGCTGTGATTCATTGCTGGAATTCTTCTTTGTTGACACGGAGATAACCTACATGGACAAGGATGTTGAACCAGGTTGTATGACGTTCCTGGGAGAGATACCTTTCATGCAGCGTGGCTCTTGAGCAAAGGAACATCAGGAGGGCGAGGGTGCTGAGGACCAGGTGTTGATAAGAGGACAAACAGGAGGTTCCTGATTTTGAATTTTTCTAAGAAACAAAAGAACCTGATTGGGAAAGGAAAATTGCAGATTGTAGGTTTAATGTTGTGGAGGTCTTCTGACCTTTGGGGTGCAGTTGGCTAACCACTGCAGAAGAAACCATGTTGGAGGCAGATGCGTTTTCCAACTTACCTGTGCCCTCTGCCTTGGTTGGCCAGGTATCTATTAGCATCTATGCACCAGGTTTCCCTTTCTGCACTGCATTTTTGTGGTTTCGGACTTGTTTGCTTTTTTGAAAGTATTTATACACGTGGGCCCTGGCCAAGTAGAACAAACGATCTAGGCCCTGACTCTTGTTTCTAGCTTGCCGATGGGAGTGGCATGAAATTCTTAAATTTCTCAACCTTGGCAGCCTGAAGATAGACAGCTGTTGATTCCCAGAATTAGCCTGCCTGGCTGGGGAATTGTGGGAGTTGATGTCCACGCACTTGCAGTGGCTGAGGTTGAGAAACATCACCTTAAAGGAGAGTTGTGAAAGAACGAGAGTGTGGCATATGATGTGTTGGCCTGTAGATGAAAAGATAATTGGGGCATTCAGCAGGTGGGAGAAGAGGAGGAGGAGGAAGAAGAGGAGGAAGAGAAGGAGAAGATCTGGGAGAGTCTCAATATGGGTGAGCAACTTTCACCAGTGACTTGACCTGCCATCACTTCTGGGCAAGATGCACAATTCAAAAGCCACCATCCCCAAGTAGCCCTCGGCTGAGCACCCCACCAGTTTTACCAGTTGACCAAATGGGCAGCCCAAGCTGGGCACCCCACCAAAAATTGTTATTATTGTGGCAGCATAAACCATGCCAACAAAATCAGGAAAGCAAAAAAGCAGGAGGGTGCAAATGCAGAAAGAGTCCTTTTTTGAATTCCACCAAGAAACAATTAGGGAAAAAAATCCTAACGCCGAGAGTCTTGAGGACACGTGTCCACTGCTGTCATTTTGAAGACAGTTGTGGATTGCCAGTGGCCAGCCCTGCCTTGCATCTCGCTCTCAGGCAAGACTGAGTGGCTCTCCAAACATAGCTTCCCATTGTTCATTGTCAGTCTCCAGAAAGGCAAACTCTGCTATTGATCTTAACCGTGTCCTGGCAGTCGCCCAGGGAAGGTGTGCCAGCCTCCAGGAGATCCGTGTCTGCTTCCCCCACCCCCCACCCCCAAAATGAACGTAGATCTGGAATAATGAGTATCGTTCTGTGGTTTGATGATGGCAGAACTATTTGGGTCCTCCAAGAGAAAGATGTCTCCAGGTTACTCATTGCAACCAGAGCTCTGAAGGAAATCTGAAGTGAAAACTCAGAAGTTGTGTGATGGAACACACCTGCAGTTGGTGTGAGTTAAAATCTGAAGGGAAATAAAAAGCGTAGTCCACGTGAGCTATGAAACAACAAGCTGGATTCAGGCAGAGGAGATCAAGTCTGAGCTCATGCAGCTCATTGGGCAATGTGTGCTTGACCTCCCGGGGGGGGGCGATCTATAAATATGTCATGATGAAATGCCCTCCTGAGTGCTGCCTTGAGGACACCTTGCAAGTGCAGCCAGGAATAAAAATGGGTAAGTAAGCAGTCATTCTGGAGAATGGCAAGCACGTTGCATGACAATGAAGGACACCCTGTGATATGAAGGCTACCCAACACACTCAATGGGAGGCCCAGCTAGATGGGGCACGGGGAGATTTTCTCCCATTGCATCGGGACAAAATCCTGTGCCCCTCCTCCAATATTTCATTCCAATTAACTTTTGTTATAGGTTGGTTTGGTAAATTAACCAGCACATACCCCATGTCTACTTCATACCTGCTTACAATAGGAAGCTAGAAATACTGCTGGTTTGCACCACAACGAATGGCTTTAGAACGTTGCTCCATTTAATTTGGTATTGTCTATGCCAGGGGTGGGCAACTATGCCAACTTTATGACCAGTGGACTTCAACTCCCAGAATTCCTGAGCCAACATGTTGTAAAGTTCCCATAGTTACCCTCCCCTGGTTTCCTACCTTCCTTCCTTCCCTCTCTCTCTCCTTCCCTCCCTCCCTCCCTCTTTCTTTTTTCTTTTTCTTTCTTTTTCTCTCTT